TAGGAGGTTGGAAATGGCCGCCGAGAAGCAGGAGGCTATTTATTCCATTACTGGTGTTTTGGCAAATTGATTAATTGTTTATTCATTTATTGCCAGTTTAGAGGGGCATTTGTCTTCCGTGACCACTTGACAGAAATTAGTTAAAACGTTGCTTCCGAGTTCGGCTGCCCCATGAACCTACTTGTGAGGTAAAGATAGCAGTTCAGTCACCACTGCCGTCCATTGTGCGTTTTCCTTTCTCAACTTTCGATTTCATAAAATAGTCCAGTAATCGGAAATGAAGAAAAAACGATAAGTGACCTGGTATTTACGAGACTTTTTGACTTATAGCGGTGTGTATATGATTGGCAGATCAAGGTCGTCTTTATATTCTGCCTGAGGGATTGCAGTACGAAGGGGAAGAAGTGACCTGTCTATCGACTAGCCACATCATTTAGTTTCTACAGTGCTGACTGCAATGGATGGATCGTACAGTCTGACGCCCGAACAATCGGACTGACAGAGCAATTGACAGACCTCGAGATATGATTATCCGCCTAAAATGGAGCATATCAAACCGCCAACAGAAAAGGATATGTACAGACTGCGTTTATCATCGTAGTAGTTAACTCGGCATATTCGTGGCGGCAAGGCTGCCAATTTAGAGCATTTCACTGTGGGCCAGTCTTGGGTTTTAACTAAATTGAAACTGCTTATGCGACTGGCGTCAGGTAGGAGTATGTTCTTCTTGTGAAGTCTGCATAAAGGATGTAGTTGTGGCTTCTGTTTATCGAATCCATCCACCTACGTCCCCACCTCCGTAGTGCATCACGTTTTTTTTTCACATGGCGGGTTCTTGTCCCGCTGTTTGTGACTACCGATGCTCAAAGCAAGCACTGCGTACGTATTTAGGAAATCATGGGCCATAGATACTTTCCTACCGCACATTTAGGCAGTCTTTTGGCGAGGAGATTTAACAATTGCTCTTTTCCTCTCACGGGAGTTGCTCTGCTCTAACCAAGAGGAAACCCAACCAAGTCTAACATCGGCGATAAAGCGCTGTATAAGTCAGGGCTGCCATAAAAAATCGGAGAGTATTCGCTACCTAGCCTGTCAATCCCACTTAGTGAGGCTGAGCTGCTCACAGTTAACAGTGGAAGGCTTTTAGTGCGTTTGTCAGATTGGACCCGATTTGTAATGATTCTGTTCACGTCGCTTGATATTTGTAATGCAAAAAAATAGTCAATGTGTCATTCCAGCCCGTGCCTTAGTGCACAAACCAACCTTCTATCCATTAGACCATGTGGGGAGGGGGGAGCACTTTGACGGAACCTAATCTCGACTGCCTATGTGAATCTGATAATCGTGAAAATAATCACATTTTGTCCCCCCAAACTGACTTTTCTTTCTACCTTACAAAAACTCACGCCTGCCATCTATGGCTTGATATTTTGAAAGTCGAACTACTTGAATTTTTGTGCTGTTTCGTTTCAACGCAGTTCTCGCACCTGCTTACAGTTATTCATTTGCCCTCAATTTTTATATTTGAGCGATGTCAGACTGTTTTCATGACATTCTAAGGACCAATTTAAATTATTTTTACGAGAGCTTGCGCCTACGTAGTAGTTGCGTATCGCCATTGTCACTATGTGACTACTTGCGCGGGCCCTACTTGTGAGCTCCCGGTCTAGAAGAGGAACTTAATTGTTCCTCTTCTAGATCGGCGAAGCGCATATATTCATATGTAAAAGCGTATGCTGTTTTTCAGCAAAAGGCCTGAACTTCAACTGTTATCTTATGCTGTACTTTCAAGTGTTAACTGAGTTGATGACAAGGTTTAATACCAATTTTTATTGTAAAATCGACTTTGTGTCAATTTAGTTCAGGAAGTAGGACCGAGTTTCCACAGTGATTGGAAAAGAGGCGGGGAAAAATGACACAGCAGAGTTTTAGGTGCCTCCGCCCGGATCGCAATTTGCCTTGCGCCAAATTGCAGGAGGGTGTGGTGTAGGAGGGTTAACGTTGGGGTTCAAATTAGGACATGGAGATAGGTATCCGCCATGGAATTTGACGCAAGACTACAACCGAACTCGTACTTTTTCGCTTTTTGGAAAATCACCACTGGTGGATGAGAGGAGCGTCATGCCAAGGTCATTGTGCAATGCTGCATGAGCCTGTTCGACATCTTGCTGGCGTATTTCGCAGACCCACCCATGTGATCGATCGCATTTGAAAGCACTCTTGACTGTTTCTCTCGGAGTTTAGGGTATTTAGCGTTGCGTGCACTGGCGATCTACTGAAAAAATCATATAAAATCCGTACAAGAAGCTACTGAACTAAATATCAATACGCTGCCAAGGGGAATACGATGCTACTTCTCTCGGAATGCCACTTTTCTACTCCCACTGACCGAACTCCGACGGGAACCTAAGCAGATGTTGACGTCCGATTGCTCATTTAACAGTCGATCCCGGCTTCTAATGAAAATAAACACACCCAGGATTGCTTGTGGTCCCCGGGGTTATGCAACCCCATCCACTCTATGTTTTCATCTGAATTTGTGTGTTCAACCATCGATTTAGATTAAGTCCACCAAGTGCAGCAACAGGTTGTTACAGAATGTGACAGCTTTGGGGGTTAGATTGTAGTGATGGCGGACGTAGTTAGCGCCAACCGCAAACTTTAACTTCGACCAAATTGAAGCTGACGTACGCTGCTTTCTCCAATGCAAGCTGAAACACCGCCTAACTTCGTCCTTAGTGACAGTAGACTTTGCGCGGGTACTACTGTACTACCTACCTTCACTCACCCTTAGTAAGTGTTAAGGCAGGCTCCAGGAGGCCGAGACTGATACGGTTACCAGTATTTCTACTACTACTGAATATCACGTAGCCGAGTCTTTGTAGTACTTGTACTATTTCTGACAGTAACATTAGTCAGAGGTGACGCTGATTTGACATCAACGCTGGGGCTCATACTTCCTTTGTTCTCAACAAGGAGTATAAAATCTGGGTTT